CAGTATTTTCAATTGCCTCATATGCATGAGAAGCTGGACAGTGGACAAAAGGAAAATTGATGCTTTTGAGTTGCAGTGTTGGTAGAGTGCACTGAATACAGCACGGGCTGCCAGAAAATTACCAGGTCAAGCTTAGAACGCTCCTGGGAAGCAAGAAGGCTGAGGCTTTGTCCCACTTACTTTGGACATGTCATCAGGAAAGACCAATCACTAGAAAAGGTCAAGTAGAGGGTCAGTGACAAGGTGAGATCCCTCCACAAGATGACTGCCATAGTGGCTGCAACAATGGGTGCAAACATACCAATGATCATGAGGCTGGCACAGAACCAGGCACCATTTCGTTCTGTTATGCGTAAGGGTGCTTGAGTCGGAGCCAATACGACAGCAACCAACAACAAACTGGTGACTGGAAATCATCCAATACGGCCAACTGGATCTTAAGTTACTGATGAACCAGGTGCTTGCTGGTCCCTCTAGGCCCTGACAAGGCCTTATGCTCTAGCTATCTTATGCTCTGTTCCTTAAAGATCATCCTGCTAGAGAGTTGCTTCAGTAACACTTACGACTTGTTCCAGCTACTAACACGGGCATTACTGTTACATACGCTTTGCTCATGCATATGCTACTTCACTGTATATACAGACCACAGGCGTAAATGTGAATTATTCAAATCACTATGTCAGCTCTCCCTGTCTGCATATTATGACCTATGTAATCTCTTCTGGAAGAGCCAAAGGGGTCCACTGCAATGACCCTAGCTTATTCTTAAAGTACCCTACTCAGTGCAGATAAGACGTGCCAGATACACATACACTTTATTCATTGGAATTCTTCCAGGCAAGCTCCTGTTTACCTGCCAGGACTCAGGATTCCCTCCCCTCACCTCCTCTGCTGCTTCAACACCCACCACTCCTTACCTTCCTGTATTCACAGGACTCTCGAACAACTCATTTCTGAATTACTGCTCTGGCTTATATGTAGCGCTTTCATTAAGTGTCCCTGAATGTGACAGCCATTGTAGATGTTGACGAGAAATGACCATGTGTCAGCAGCTGCAATGACAGCATGTGGCTCAATGCACCATCAGCTGCCACCTGGACAAGAGCAATGTGACAGTTTCCTATGTCAGCGTGGCAAGGCTATGGTAACCAGTTACTTCATCAAACTCTATGCTGTAAAGAAACTCTGTGGATGTGGTCTTAACATCTGCAATCAATTGACTATAGGGCCTCATTCACCCTGTTGAAAGGCCTTAAAAGCAAAAACAATGTTTCCCAGAGAAGAAATTCTCCCTCAAGACCTTAGGCTCAACTCCTGCCTGAGTTTTCAGTTTACTGGCCTACCCTACAACTTCAGACTGTCAAGCCCCCACAATTGCATGAGCCAGTTCCTTAAAAGCAATAAACAAGCAAGTATTTGTCCTGTTTGCCTGGAGAACCCTGACAGATGCACCTGCTAACTAGACCCTCTATTTCTGCCCTTACTGCAGTCCACGGCCAACACGGCAACCACTGGCTCAAAAGATGCGTCAGATACCCTCCAAGGCACCCCATCTCACTCCAAGCAAACCAAAGTCATTACAGTGACCAGCAAGGGCCTGCCCTCTGACCCTTGGCATCTTCTGAACTCATCTCACTCCCTCTGCCTCACTTATCCCAGGCATGTCTGGCTTCAGAGCCTTCGCACTTGCTAGTTTCTCTACCTGAAATCTTTTTATCCCAAATTAGAGACATAGTTCACTCCTCACCTCGGTTAACTCCTTGTTCAAATGTCACTTTTCAGGGAGGCTTTCTCTGTAAAACAAACACCATCACCCCACAAGCACTACTCATATGCTCTTCACAGAAACCTGAACTTCTCTCATGCCCTTCCATTAACAGAGAAGCCAGCCATTCTTGGCCTTACAGTTCCCACACATCAGGAGCAAGGGGGTTCAGAGGCTTCCTCCTCCAGGCATAAGAAGCAATGACTTCACAGGACACCGGAGTTGAGAGAGTTACACTCCAGTCACTATTCTAACCTTACAGCTGGCGATCACATGTGCACATCCCATCCATTTAGGAAAAACATCACAGATCTGTAACACATTCCCTACCTTCTTCTCCCTCTCAATTAACTCTCTACTCCCCTTATAGCCGCTCCCAGCGCCATGACCTCCATGTTTGAGCGTTATGTCAAGAACTTGCTCAAAGAGGTGGGGAGAGGAGATCTGAAGCCCATCAACAACCTGAGCAACGCCACCAAATTCCATCAGTTTAACGTGATACGGAAGAAGAAGGCCAACTTTCTCTCACGGTTTTGGAAACAACCTGACATTCCAACTGAATTCTCCCTCATGGACATCCTGGAGCCAAATTCTTCAGTCCCAGGTACCGCCAGCCAGTGGGAAGGGGGCAAGGAGGACAAAATACGGATGCTCAGACAGAGGGAGCCCAACAACCAAGATTCCCAGTACCAGCCAGCCAGGCAGATATCAGGAACAGTCTTCCCTAAAGATAAAGGAAAAGGAATTAAGATTATTAGAGGATCTACTCACTATCTGGGCCCAGGCAACATTTGTTGATTTAATACTTAAATCAACCTGTGGAGGTACGGAAGTTACCCTCATTTCACATAAGAGAAATTGAAGGCAGTAAAATCATCTGTGCCAGGTTCCATACCTGGAAGCTGGCAGAACTAGGACCCGAAGCCATGCCTGTCTGCCCCAGTACGCTGCCTCCTCGGGCCGCGTGCTGTATCTGTTGCGAGAGGAGACACTGTATCAGGCAAGATGGCCTGTGCGTCTCCTGCACAAGTGCTGTCCTCATTTCTTAGGATGAAGATACTATCCCTGCTAATCAGCTCCTGGACGGAATTAAACATTTGGCCTCCTGACTGAGACACGTCCAGTGTGAAGGAGGGTTGGAGCAAAATAAGCAGTAACCAGTTGCCATGGAGTCAACTCTGCCTCTCGCCAACTCCATGTGTGTCAGAGTAGAGCTGTGCTCTGCTGGGTTTTCAATGGCTGATTTTTACAAGTAGATCATGAGCCTTTCTCACGAGATGCCTCTGGGGGAACTCCAACCTCCAGCCTTTGAGTTATCAGCCAAGCACGTCAACCATTTGTAACACCCAGAGCACTCTAGGGCTGAGGAAGCTTCAGTTTTTCCATTTTACACAGTTGTTGTTGTTGTTGTTATTTGCCATCAAGTCGGCCCCGACTCATAGTGACCCCTCCTTGGGTTTCCGAGGCAGTATCACTACGGAAGTAGGATTGCCCAACCTTCCTTCCGAGGAGTGGCTGGTGGGTTTGAACCGCCAGCCTTCTGGTTAGCAGTCAAGTGCGTTTAGGCACTATGCTACCAGAGCTCCCATTTTACACAGTAGCTATTCCAAACTTCATTTTTGCCCAACCTAAGGTCAACTTTCTCTCCCCAGAAACTGTCTCAACAAAACCGTTCCTCTTCAATATCACTGAGTTCCAGAAGCACAAAGGGGGTGTGGATGTGGAGGTCAACATTGCGCTCGAAACGAGTGTATCAGGGGAGGCTACTGCATACCAAGAATCCTCCCTCGAGTTGCAGTTTGTTAGAATCCCACCCCACACCTGGACAGCCCTTCAAAAGAGGTGAGCCCGCGAGAAAAGACAGGACTGAGTCAGCACAGCCCCTAGAACGTCCTCCTCATGGGCAGACAGGCGTTGCTGCCGAGGCTAGGAATGGAGATGATGACATCACAGATTATGCCTCCTTCTGGTGAATTCATTTGTTCATTCATTCATTCAACAAATGGTCACTAGTTACCTGATATGTATTTATTAGAACAGTAATTGTCCATTATTATGCTATGATGTGGGAGCTCTGGTGGCGTAGTGCCTAAGGCATGTGACTGCTAACCAGAAGGCTGGTGGTTCAAACCCACCAGTAACTCCTCGGAAGGAAGACGGTGCAATCTACTTCCATAGTGATACTGCCTCAGAAACCCAAGGAGGAGTCGCTATGAGTCGGATCCGATTCCGTGGCTGTGAGTTTGGTTTTGGGTTTGGTGCTATGATGAGCTGGAGATAGAATGATGAACAAGACAGATAAGACGCCTGACCTAAAGCAGCTATATTTAGTGGGGTCAGGGAAAAGGTGGGCGATGACGAAATTAGTAATTGAAAAATAAATGAACAAAGTATTAATGTAAATGAGAAACAGACACTGAAACTCTGTTTGAATCAAGTATGCGTCAGGGTCCTGGGGTTTAATTTATCTCCATGCATATGGAAAGACGGCTGTCCGGTGGCAACTTTCTTCTTGCTTAAACAGAAACCCTCCAAAGTCCTTTTATCTTTTAGAAAACACAAGTGTTGATTTAAATAGTATTCTTACCAAGGCAATGAAGTATTAAGGAAGCAACCAGCCAAAAATCACAGACTGTTTCAGAAACTACAAGTTAATTTCATTAGGACACTGCACAATTTCTCTACTCCTGGTGTCTTGACTCATTTCACCCACTGCCATTGAGTCAATCTTGACTCATAGCAGCCCTATAGGATAGAGCAGAACTGCCCCATAGGGTTTCCAAGGCTGTAAATCTTTGCGGAAGCAGACTGCCACAATATTCCACTGACCCTTCTGTTAGCGCCCCAGCACATAACCACTGCGCCGCCAGCACACCCTCCTGGTTTCTTAAATAGAAACCAAACAAAACCCATTGCCATCAAGTTGATTCCAACTCAAAGCAACCCTTGTAGCCTCATAAGGTTTCCAGCTGGTGGGTTCGAACCACCAGCGTTTTGGTTAGCAACCAAAAGCTTTAACCACGACGCCAGCAGAGCTCCTCCTGGTTTCTTACAAGACCCTTATTAGAACTAACAACTGTGAAGACCGTTGAGGGTACAAACAGCATCTGAATTTCTGTAGCTGCATGGAAAGAAAAAAGAAACAACAAGTCCTTATAGATTCCTTTCAGCATTTAAAGAAGCTGAACTTTCAAGGACAAACTGTATTAGCCCCAAAAGGAATAAGGCTGAAATCAAAACTTTAAATTCAGAAAAGAAAAAGCAATTAGATATTTCTACTAAATGGGGTGAGAGACATGTCATGTTTCTCAGGTATAAAAG